TTTGAGAATGCTCTCAACTATATCAAAATATGAAAATATATCAACAATAAAAAATAGTAAAGTGTGGATTATGACAGCCCAGATGGATTTCACATCACTACCCTTTCAAAGGAATGAAGATCTAGACTTCCTACATGGTGCCCTATCTTTTGCAGTTCACTCAAAGGAAGTTTTGGGATTCCAGAAATTTCTCCAGAAGAGAAGAGCATTCTCTGACCAACAAGATGGTTTTATTCAGGTTTTCTGGGAGGAGGCCTTTGAATGTTTCCTTCCCAGCTCCAAGATTCACAAGCAAGATGAAGCCATCTGCAATGGACTGGAAGAGCTAGAGACACTTCCTTCATCTGTTTTTGAGATGGACATGACTGCCAACAGCTATAGTATCTACAACACAGTCCATATTATAGCACATGCTTTGCATAACATGCTTTCATCTGAATTGAAGCACATGGCAAGAATACCTGAAGCAGGAGTGAAGCTACTAGATCAAGACCTATGGCAGGTATTGTGCTCCATCTATTAATGAGGGTTCACCAGATTGGTAGAAGAAACTGAAGATTCTAGATGGTGTAAAGAGTGATCTTTCTTCAGAGAATGGGCAGTATTCAAAAGGCATTGCATAGAAATCTTAAGAACTGCTAAAGCAAGATCAAGAACTGTAGCCAGACTTGCTTCAGGGTAGCATTTTCCTCACACTGCTGTGAGGTTCCTTCTTTAGGGGCAAAAGTACTATGTAGTCATCAATGGTGCTTTTATTCAAGGAAAAAGTGACTCCCTTCCCCACAAATTGTTTCTGGAATTGTGTTCTGTATCATTAACATCGAAGCGTGCTGCTTTGCTTGCAAGAGGAGTTGGTTAGCTACTTATTAATTTATTTGTAATAATTGTAAACCTCCCCACTCCAAGGATGTTGCTCACATATAGCAGCTGAATGCACCATACCTCAGTAAAGAGGAATGGCAACATTTGAAGCGAAGGGTATAATTCATAGAGCTTTTCAACTCCAAAATTGCAGATTTTATTTGAAGACACATTGAGATATAATGTGTATTGAATCAACTGGATTCTTATAGGTGCTTTATCTTTCTATTTTGACTCTTCCTCTTTCTGTGCCAATCTTTTGCTTCTCCTGTTGCCTTGCCCTCAACTTCCATTATTCTTAGAACAGATCAGAATCTATCATGGAATTTAAACATTAGAATATTTCTGTGCTCAGATCAATTAAGTGGGAAAAGATAAGTATCCTTCTGTATATCCTGACAAATCATTATTTCTTTTTCCCTTCAATTCCTTACCTCCTCTCTCCCCCATCCTCCCATTTAGTTTAACAAGTTTCTGAGAAGCATCTCTTTTAATAATACTGTTGGGGAAACAATTTCATTCAATCAAAATGGAGAACTGAATACCGGGTTTGATGTTAACAACTGGGTAATATTCCCAAATCAATCTTTTCTTAGAATCAAAGTTGGAGAAATGCGACCACGCAATAGCCCAGAAGAAATGTTCACCCTTTGGAAGGAAGGCATCACTTGGCCCCACAGTTTCAACTGGGTATGATCCTGTCATGGTCTGAACTATATTCAGGAATTAATTTATCAATATTGAAACAGTGATTCACTAAAATCACTTTAGCTATCTCAGACATGCTTTTTTCAATACAAAGAATAATGGAAAGCAAGATTTGGATCAGAACTTCCTAGGCTAACCCGCAGGATAAAAAAAATCAATTATGTACGTTAATTTTTTTTTCATATATACAACTAATAAATAAAATTGAGATATATTGAAACAAACCTAACATTGGACTGTTGAACACTTAAATGTTTAATGTACTCATTGAGACACATATGAAAGGGTTTTATGGGTTATATTGGTTCGAGGATAAGAGCTCAAACAATAGTTTTCTTTAAAAAGCTTGAACTCCAATTTTTCAGATGTAACTGGGAAACATTTGTTTCTTAATAGAGCCTGGTTCATTTAGGCTCCTTAGATCTAAGCCACTTAGACTTCTTAAGCTATGTAAAGAAATCACTGAAGTGGATGCTTGAAAAACCAAAAACATCATTTCTTTCTTTTATGAATAGACACAGCCCCTTTCTCTTTGTAATGCCAAATGCAATTCAGGTTATAGAAAGGCTGCGAAGGAAGGGCAGGCATTTTGCTGCTATGATTGTATCCCATGTCCAGAAGGGAAGATTTCCAACCAGAAGGGTGAGTGACAGCTTGTGAAATAATGGTTGCCAACCTGTGTATCATGGGTGGTGGTTCCTTAGGCATATGCCAAAATGAAGCTCCATAATGTCAAGAATGCAAACTACAAAAAATTGGGAAGGGACATGTGACCACAGATGCTGCACTGCTGATTTGAGATGTCTCTGTGGAACTTTATATAGTGACAATATAAATATTTTTATATTGTCAGGAAGGAAAAGTTTGTGTCATGATGAAATGTACCAATTTTCATGAAATGAAAGGGTACACTTATTATTTTTTCTTCTTTTTGAGAAGTTCTGCATCAATGCTTATATCTTATTCAGCCTTCCACCCACCCAATCCCACCCTCAGATCTAGAGATTTCCAACTGTCCTGGCTCTAAGCCAGGAGGTTGAGTGAACATTTCTAAGTGTGTGTTTTAAGAGGCCTTTGTTCCTCATGTGCTGTGATTTTCGGATATATTATTTTGTATTCTAAAGTTTTGACCCAGAATTGCATAGCTAGTAGGCAATATTAAAAATCAGAATATTATGAATAATAAAAATAATATTCAAAACTATTTAAAATCATTTCCAAAAGATTAATAAAAATACTAGAATGCAGATAAAAATTAATTATGGTAGTTACAGCTTAAACGCATTATGTAGTAATATTTTATGTCTTGTATGTGGACTGAAGGAACTTGATCATTTCAAATTCTCATATCAAAGTAATTATACTGAAACTGCTTCGACTACACTCTCCATCTGATTAAGTTCTCCATTCCCCTTGATATCCCAAAATATTACGATCTCACCAGCTGAAACATATCAGAATTTCTATTCATATATGTTGCTGAGAAGATTTAAAAGAAAAATAATAAAGACAAAGAAAAAGAAAATAATATAATGATATCAGGGGAAAAAAGTTTTCCAAGGGAAATCGGTTTCTAGTTTCTTAATGTACAAGGACAGAAACGATCCTGTATTGCTGACATGAGTCCAAAAATCTAGGTTATTTCTGGACTATGCAGTGCATATAATTTCACAAGGAAATACTAGCTTTGGCTGGTGTGGGTCTTCCGGGCTGTGTGGCCATGTTCTTGAAGTTTTGTTTCCTAA